TTAGACGCTAGTCCATCTGACTGGTCGCAATCACTTATCGTCCCAATGTATAAGAAAGTGTCAAAATCATTCTGTGACAACCACAGAGGGATTAGTTTAACAAATATATTATCTAAAATACTAGCCTCGATAATTATCAGACGCCTAACTAAGACTCGTGAACTGCAAATACGAGAGAACGAAGCTGGCTTCAGACCTTGTCGTGGCTGCATCGACAACATATTCACCATTCGTTATGTTCTAGGACATAGGCATACTTATCGACGTCCAACAATGGTGGTCTTTCTTTACTTAAAAGCAGCATTTGACTCCGTGGACCGCGAGATTCTGTGGCAGTGTCTGTCATTGAAAGGCGTACATCAGGAGTACATAAACCTTGTGAAGGCTCTTTACTCGAACACTACTACTCGAATTAGAGCTCATGGAGAACTGTCATCTAGTTTTGCAACCTCAAGTGGTGTCCATCAAGGCTGTCCACTTTATCCATTTTTCTTTAATTTCATCACAGACCTACTGATGATCAGAGGCAGCAGCATTTCTCCTGTAAATCAATATACATTGGTTGATTGGCTTTGTAGGAGCACGGTATGGAGGATCAGATCGATCACATTTGCATCAAAATAATTTAAAAGGTTCGCTGAAGACCTGAGGTCTAAAATAAAGCTGATACATCTGCTGATCACCACTCGGTGGTGATCACAATGTAATTAGAGACTACCAAAAAGCTGAGCAAACAGTAAAGCATACACTTGTCACAGCCTCTCTTCGTCAAGCTTGTAAGTCCAGAGAATTTATGATAGCTTTTAGCAACAATTTCCAAGTCTTGGACACTCATCAAGGCAATAGCGAAATATAGAGATTTATATAAAGTAGTGCTTTGTGAATGACTGGATGAAATATCTAGAAGTTGTGAAAGTTATTATTAAAAAAGCTCGAAAGAAAGAAAACCTGAAAGAACTATATGATGAGACAGAGAAATTAGCAGGAAAGTATGATTAGACGGAGCAACCAGCAAGGAATTTAAGAGAAAACTCAGTTTTTCAGTATCGAGACCGAATTAACTAGCTCTTAAAAGGACTAGCTAGATTGATTATGTAAAAACGTAGGCTGAGTGGTAAAAAATCGGTCAAAATTCGCGATAATGTCAAAATATTGTAGTTTAAGTATTTGTTTACTTTACTATTTCGCACATGTGTAGTTACTTACTTTTATCACGAGAACACGATTGATTTATTGAAAACATTTTCTGTTATAACCAAATGTACCAGTGACTGTTTTAATGTGCTTTTGTTTAACTGTGCTAAAAAACATCCATTATACTTACTTCGATTGCGAATCAGGTTACGCTCAGTAACCGAGCTTGTATCCTGGAACGATCTCGGTATTCTTTCGATACCACGAGATCGCCAGCAAATATATCTCGACTGGGTCCATTAACTGCCTTCTGATATTTGGTTTCTGGGGGATATTATGGATATCCTGGCACACGTTCCTTTGTAGTGGTGTTCATAGTCTACCGCCACTCGACGACACGCTACATACGAACTATGTTTTCTACTATTCTATATAGAATATTGTAAATCTTGTGTATTAAAATAATTAAAACCGACAAATTAGAAAGAGCAATACTCAGTTCAAATCCCCGAAAAAAATGTCAGTAGGTGTGAGAACTGCAGCTTTATCATGTTGCTGCCAAAACGTGGAGTAATTTCAACTGTACGATTGAATGGAATCGAAAATTCAACAAATATCCGACTTCGAGATCAACAATCTGAATTCAATAAAGATCAGTCATATTTCGGCAAAAAAGCGGAACTGTGGATCCGTGTCAAACAATCAGTTGAATAGAAATTATCAAACTTTTTAAACGATTTTGTTTGCCAGAAAGCATTCGATTAACTGGTCTGGAAACCTTGCGGGATCTGCCTCAACATTGTAGCGCAAATAAATCCCAAAAATAAATAGATCTGTAAGTTTTTGACAATGGATGCTGACCACATTAGTTTCAATGGACTCACCTAGCTGAAGGCGCTCGATCATGCATCGCACCAGATCACGGGTGGGAACGCCGTGCTTAACAACCCCTGCAATCGCTAGCCAGATTAGATCAGACGATCCTTGATATATTGATAGCCTACCAAATATATCTTCGAACCTCCTCGCTTCGGCCTTTTGATTTTACGTGGTGGGTAGGATTCATATTAGAAGGTGTTACCGGTTAAAGTGTTGTCGAACTCCAAATACCTGTGGTATCTTCAATATTGTAGGGCATATAAAATATGTTCAACATACTACAAGACTTTTGAATGATTGAATTAGTAAGATTTGTATATGGGATAGCTGTCAGATGAATACCAAGTGAAAGCTGACGATAGTACCTATTCTTCCTCTACCTTTGACTTCTCGTGGTTCACTTGATTTTGTAGAGCCTCACACTTCAAGAGAAGCACACAATACCATGAACAGCTTGGATATAGTTAAACGATTTGGATTTCGTAGATGACTTAGCTATTCTATCCCATACGCAGCAACAAATGCAGTCGAAGGCCGTCATTCTGATACTAGCCTCTACTGTAGTATGTCTCATCAAACACAGTCGAAAACCATGATTTTAAAATTCAACACAGCGTGGATCAACCAATTCACACCTGATCGAGTAGTTCTAGAAGAAGTAAAAGGTCTCATATACCTGGGCAGCATTCTTGATAAACAAGGGGATCAGATACAAATGAAAAAGCGTGGAGTTACTAAGCGAGAACAGCAAACCTACAACTGAAGATTAGCTGAATCTCAAAACAAGTGTCAAACAACATAGAAATCAGAATTTTCAACATGAACATCAAGACAGTCTTATTGTACAAATCTGAAACTTAAAAAACTACTACAACTATCAAAAAAGTACGATTACTTATAATCTATTATTTACCCAAGATACTCTTTGTTCGTTAGCCAAATGCCGCCAACAACAACCTAACTTGGAAGAGAATATATTAGCTTCCGGGTAAGGAGAAAATCCAAAGACACCAGGGGTGGATCGGTGATTCACACTATGGGACTCAATAAACTACAACATGAAGCAGGCCCTAGCTTGAAATCCTCAAGGCCAAAGGAAAAGAAGCGGGTCGAATAGCACATTAGCCAGATGAAAAATATTACGGATTTTCTATTGTCTAATGTTTATTTAGCAGATACATGTCACTTCGAATTTAGATTGGATTTGTTTAGATTTATGCAAGATTAGTCGGTAGGCATAGCCTATTTTATAATAAATATGAAATGTAAGATGGGTCGTGCGAAAACGAGTCCAAGTTGAAGCAGATTTGACTGAACCCATCGTGCTTGTAAGCCTGCTCGTACGGGAGTTTAAAGCTATATTTATGAAGATGATAGGTTGCTGGATTTTTGCGGTAGTCTAAGTCTCACCTTGTAGACGAATCCCGCTAAATTGCAACATTCAATACATTGAGAATTCCGAATGACCCTAAGGTAACAACGTCAGTCTGTCGCCAAAAGCATTCTTTTAATTGTCCGTTAAGTAACTATAATAAACCTTTAGTTTGTGAACGATCGGCAGTCGGTTTGAATTTCATGAAACCGGAAGTGTAGTAAATAAATCCCCAAAATAAATAGATCTGTAAGTTTTCGACAGTGGATGCTGACCACATTAGTTTTAATGGACTCACCTAGCTGAAGGCGCTCGATCATGCATCCGCACCAGATCACGGGTGGGAACATCGTGCCTAACACCCCATGTAGTCGGTAGCCAGTCTAGGTCAGTCGATCGTCAATATATTGGTGGCCTATCAAATATGTTGTAGCAGGTCTATGAGTTGCTTGATGGCAGGATAATGCCTGACTTTATTATATAACCAAATTTATTCTGGGCTAGTCTTAGCATTTCAAAAGCTGGTCGATAAGCTTTTGAACATTCATATGGTCCTATAGTAGAGCTGTGATGTGCAATTTTAATCGCGTTTTGTACAATCAAAAGTATTTGTTGAGCATTAGTTTGAAGTTTAGATGGATTTAAAGATGCCTCGAGTGTTCGACGTTTGACAAGCACTTTACACCTAACATCTTTGTAATTGAAGTACGCCAAAACAGTCAAATCAGAAGTCAGAAATGAAGATATATTTAAATGACCATCGATATATCGGGAAGCGTTTGATCTAAGCTGGTTAACGGTCGTAAGATATTCGTAGCACAGCGTACCTACTCGTCATATGGTGAGAAACGCTTTCAGATAGACTAGTTCATTGAAACCACTTGGGTCAACATCAAGCGTCGAAGACCTACGGAAATTTATTTATTTATTTACCACTGCAGATTAATTGCCTAAACATGACCAGCCATAACATGCAACCAGAAAATGAAGCCCCTAAAACAGATATTTTGGTATCGATTTCTACTTATACCCCTTTGCTTGGATCAACGAGCGGGCCAAAGTTTTATCGCAGGTTTATTCTAATGACTGGCATTTACACGAATGCAACAACAAAATACCCAATGGATAGGTTTACGTAAACCCACGTTATGGTAAACATACCTTTTAACGTAGGTGGTGGTTAGTTCGGGGTTTGACGAGTGAGTATCTTCAGTTAGGTGTATGTCTGGCAAAAATAATGAGGTTAGCATCAATGCGAAAAACTTATAAAACCACTGGTTTTGGGTATTTAGTTACCACCATAATTTCTTCGTCTGAGGTTCGTCGGCTAATAATAATCACTTTTAAATAAAATGATGAATTCGCATATTAGTTGGATGATTTTAATGGAATCAACTGTACTTGTTCAGTTTCTTTCAGTAGCTTTCACTCTCGTTCTAGACAACAGTATCAACTCATACTTGACATCAATGTGCATTTCCACAATTGTCATCTAAGTTTGTTCTTGCATTACAGTTATTATTATTATTTGGGAAATAGCTAGATGAGGAATGATCTGTTATGTATCACAATGTCAATATATAATAAACTTTTGTTTTTCTTCTCTCTTCATTGACAAAATCGAAGGTTGGTCGAAGTCAACCAATAGTTTTGCTGGACGTGGAGTCGCGGTGGTTTGTATTGTTGGTTTTACAGTTATCCGAAATCTCATTCATATTTTCTTCAGATTCGACTCACTTTAATTGCGTCGACTGGTTGTTTGTTCACTGTCTACTGTTATCGACTTTTTTCACTTCCTCTCCATACTGCATTGACGGTACCCATCAGTTATTAGGCTCAATTTCTTCCTCTTCCTCCTGAATTCGTGGTTGATTGGAGTACTACTACTAAAATTACATTCATCTTTGCAATTTAATTAGTACGTATCTTCAGACTAGGAGCAAATCCACAAACAACTAGGCGTCGAAATGTTACCTTTATTGGTTGTATTACTTAATAATATCATATGCCCAACATTAGCTATATATCCAGATGATGATTGCAATAAGTGTAAACATGCTGCAAAAAGTTTTATCTTAGGATTTCACAAATCAGCTGGGAAAAATTTTGGGGGAGGGAATTCTTTGTGGGAAGAAAAGCACTTAGGGAGCTACTCTGTTAGTGAAGCGCGCTACCACGATATTGTTGAAGGGATCTGTAGTGATGTCAAGCAAGCAGTTAAATGTCATGAGTTTTTAGAAAGTATTGAGCATCATTTAGAAGATTGGTGGCTTAGGGAATACAGGAGTGATTCTAATAAAGTAGAAGGGTTTGAGGAAGATTTATGCGTCACTCGGACCAAGTTTTGCTGTCCTGCTAACTCCTTTGGGGATTCTTGTCTTCCATGTCATCCATGTTACTTTTTTGGTGGGAGGTGTGATGGTAATGGGACACGTTCTGGAACAGGTAATTGTATTTGCAACGACGGATATACAGGAGAGTTATGCGACAAATGCACCTTTGAAACTCATTTCCAGTCCCACAGTGACTTCCCAATATCATGCACACGATGTCATTTGTCGTGCTCCGGTGGTTGTTCTGGTCCATTTCCTGAAAACTGTTCTGCGTGTGCTGCTGGATGGATCAAAGTGGTCTCCGGTGATCAACGAGGATGTGTTGATATAAATGAATGTATTGATAGTCCTTGCAACAGATCTACACATTTTTGCTTAAACAAACCTGGTTCTTACGAATGTGTTCCCTGTCATCCTGCTTGTAACAAATGTTCTGGTTCGACTGCGAACGATTGTGAATCTTGTGCAAGCGGTTACCAAAGAGGAAATGGAGACGTATGTGAAGATATAAACGAATGTAATGCTGACAGTAATATTTGTAATAGCGAAGGAGAAAGTTGCACGAACACAGTTGGGAGTTTTAAATGTGATTGCAAGAGTGGATATAAGCGGACTAGCAGTGGGTGCGTGTTGGATGTAAAGCCAAGAAAAGGTTCGCAAACATCTGATAAGTATGAATCACAGTCAACCGTTCATAACATTAACTCACGCAATCGTAACACGCAAAGAATAATATGGACTGTCACTTATACGAAAGAATTCCTCAAATATTCTGCTTCTCTAGCTGCATTTGCCACCTTTTGCTGGTTTGCTAGGGGACACCCTTTCGCAATTCTGTTTGCGTCACTACTAATCGGCTCATTTGTGTATTTTCAGAGCATTAACTTTGATTTCGTATTTGCTAACCAGAAATAAACATTATTCCTTATTGAATTTTGTAATTTTTCCCTACAGAAAATCTGAGAACTAGATGAGATGTTAATAAAGACGGTACTGTGAAAACATGGATATTATATTCTAACCTTTTTTTCGAAGAACTCTGACTTCAGAGTAATATCCCATCTTTCCGTCCAAAACAAACTACTAAATGTATTCACTTTATTTCATGTGTCTTTGATATTTGTTATATTCTCAAGTTTTTATCATAGTACCTCAGATACGGTTAAATGTTACCTTTTGTACACAAACTGCTTTCTATTTTTCAAATTCGTGTGTTTTGCTAGTCATTCTCAAGATATTTTAATCAGTCAACACTGATAAATTCCTTTACCTCAGAATGTCTTCTTTCTTGCCTCTCTGATGGAAGTTATCACTGAATCGGCCTGAAAGTTATGTAAAGATAGTGTTAGGAATATGTAGAATGCCTCAGATCGAATCACTGTATGCCACTTACTAGCGTTCTTTGTTCTAGCTGTTCAAGTTCTAATTCTGCTGCCTTTACTTGCTTTAGAATAGATGTATCTCTGGACTTGTTACGTGAGTGATTACTGGGTTTCATTTCGCTTGTTTATTCGTGCTTATATAGTACTTCTTGATCCGTCTACGTTATTTCTGGGATTCTTAGTTCATACTATAATTCAAACACTCCTAATCATCATAAAAACGTCCTTATGAATTTTTACTATCTGGTTAGTGGATTTATAAATTCATGCATTTTCAACGTGGTCAACTCTTATAAAATGTTTCATAAATATGTTCTCAACCGATATTTATGGTGAATGTGGAAAGCTGAGCAAGAAACCGTACATAAGGTATCTTTTACGCCTAAACTTTCTCTACCTTTCAATACTGAATATGTGATTGAAGTAGATTAGCAAATATTTTGGCAAACTGATGGTAAATCATTTGGAAACTATTATTCTCGAAAGACATTGCACACAATTATACTAAATGCAGTTGTCTAAAGAGATAAATCTACGATACATTTAGTAAACAGTGAGACAAGTTTTTCATTTTTCGAGAAATTAGAATCCGTTTGCTAACTACTGTTGAAAACGCAATTGTGTCTCAACCTGGAATTCGTTGTGACTTTGAATTTTGTTCAGTTATTGGAATAGTTTTTAAATTAATGAAACATTTATAAATGTTCCTAAATCAATAAGCTTCTATACATCTTCACAGTATGTACGATGTCACGAATTACTTTTTTTATTCTGAAGGTTTTCTGGCTGCTAATGTATTCAGTATTTCCAAGTCTTTTATTCATAAAATGATGTAATGCATAGGATCTAAAGCCGCAATTAGCTCGTTCTGTTTTCTGTCAATGAACACTGATGGGCACTGAAATGTGTGTTCAGACTAAGTCAGATTGTTGATAAGTTCTTGTTAAATTTGTCTTGAGTTTAAGAACTGAATATTCAAACTTTCAAAGATTAAATTTCTAATGTTAAAGTCGTCAACTTATTTGTAACACGAGGAATGCGTGTATCAAACAAGTACAAAGAATGAGTCGATGATCATATATTATCTGATAGTTCTAGCTTTTCGATGCTTATCGTTTCTACAAAGTTTTGATAAAGTAGTTCCTTGATATACGTAACATCAAATGAGGATCGACTGAATGTCCAGTTCAAGTTATTAACATAAAATGTGACAATTAATTTTTATCGTGCATACTACTTAAAAATAATAAACAGTACATAATCTTTGATAAAAGATTTGTATTGCTTTCTGTTGTAACGTATAAACATCCCTCTCGGCATAAGTGGTAAATCAGTTAATTGTTACGTAGATATGTGTATATTAAAGTCACTGCATAAGATTTCATCAGCTACTCACGATTAGTTAATTTTATGTGAAGTTTAATTACTATTTTTGTGGAGATTTTAGAAATTTCACAGATTGAAATCATGAGTCAGTTGAAGCTAGACCACCATTGAAATCTGGAAGCACTGGACGGCCGTTTCATCCTAGTATGGGACTCCTCAGCAGTGCGCATCCACGAACCCCGCGTGGTGTGGGGTGAAATGTATAGATCTATTTTATCATTCTTCTACGATCCGGTATACCAGAAGAAATCGGCTGAATAAAGTTAACTAAGAGTGAATGATAGTTGATCAATTAAATTTACTAACAAAAAATGTATTTGATTCACCTTCGAGTCTGTATTTTAAGTAAAAAAGACCTAAAACGAAGAAATATTTATTATCTTTGCTCTAGTTCTAAATTGCAATTTTCACCATACTAAAAAGATGTAATACTCTCATTAGATGATTTGATACCACAGTAGCCAGTAAGAATTTTAACACACAGAACTAATACATTTAAATAACCCGCCTCAAACATTCGTCCTTTGGGCTTAGGTGCCATATCCCCAGGTCCCCAAGACCATTGCTAATCAAGTTTCCCTTTCAGGTTCTTCAATGTGAAGTTTCCTTCCATTGTGTGGGGGACCAGAGAGTGGCTGCCGTCCTCTAACAGCACTTAAGATCCTGTTCTTCATGGTCAAACTTCATTATAACTCATTAATATTCCTATTATCACAATTAACCATTCTTCTACAACTTAATCTTTATTGTCACGCGTTGCCATCACTGATTATTCGGGTTCGCGAAATGTTATTTCTGGTCTCTAAAGTAGGTGTTGTAGCTTACAGTGACTGTAACCCAAGTCAAACTGAACAGCAAGCTTCCTTAGTTAGGGCTCTGGAATATCCATGCTGTGTCTATGAAACAAGCATACAGGATTCAGGTGTAATCACTGACTTGACCTTACTTAATCAATGTAGAAGATCGGCGAGATTTGGCCTCTGTTTATCTAGTGGCTCGATAGCATGTCAGCAAGTCCATGATTAGAACAGGCTCTTTGACTGGACTCGAACAGACAGTCGCTTGCGTGCTCTTTAACTAAACAGGAAATACGAAGATAGAGAGATAGGTACACACTGATGTTTCCTTGTCGTTTCTACCTACTTCCCTGTTGACTGTAGTCCGAGCAAATTAAAGGGTGAGTTTTACAGGAGGTTTTCTGTTCTCCTTCGAAAAGTCAAACGGCCAGTCATAATTGTAGAAGGGTATTTTAGTACTCAAGAAGGTAGTCTAAACCTCGATGAAAGACACTTAGATAGGGTCTTACAGTGTTCCAGCTCAGGAAACACAACGGCGATAAACTGCTACAACTATGATCAGATAAACACTTATGCTTGACGAGTTCCAACTTTAATAAAAAAAGAGACATCGTCTGACATAGTGACCACCAAGATTGACTCGACGGTTGACTCAAATATACTATATCACCACCGGCCGTACTTAGTGAGGCTCGATAAAAGACTGTCATTCATTCTGGAACACAATTTCAGACTCTGATCATGCTTTGTTTCGATCTTAATGGACGCACAAATGCTATAGACAAGATGGTCCCTCAAAGTTTAATCTAGAGATGTGAAAGTCAAAAGCATATCTTAAGAACAGTTACGGAGGTAGTTCGTCAGTCGAAATTATCTTCGTCTCAGTGTAGGTTGGCATGATAGTTTAGCAGCTGTGAAAGCAGCAGTGAGATCTACTAGTGACTTAAACTAAAAGAATAAGAAAAATATGTGAATTTCTTTAGTATCTACTAAACTGACTAGTGTTACGAAATTCAACCTATCAAGCTTGAAACACAATCAGAACTAGGAAAATTTTCAACAGTACTGGCTAGGGAAAGCTAAATGCTTTCAGTCTTATCAAAGAAACAGGGAATTAAAATTTGTGTATCAGTGAGACTATTCCTGAAAACGTTTTCATAATAATTACTGGTCCGGGAGATTTGGAAAGTGAGCACAATACTATGGAGAATGTTTCAGTTGATCTCTAGCTACACTACATCTTGGAACAATGTGAACGGGAAATCGACACGTTCCATAAATCTTAGCGAGCTTGGAAAGGCTATATCTGTTTCAGGGCGATGGAGAGCAGCACGTCCTGATAGTCTAGCTCCAGATATCTTTAGGGATGGTGGTCTAGTCTTAGCACTTGAAGTGACAGATTGCAGCTAGGATCTGGGAATTGGATGTAATTCTGTTTGACTGTTCTCGATCACTTAGTGTCCCGATTTGCAGGACAGAACGAAGATTCTCTCTTGGTAAATATGGAGAAATGGGTTCGACTAAAATTATATCGATCTTCTACCAGGAATTCACTTTTTAAACGTTCAGATAACCGCTCTTTGTATTCTCTTGGGATCTAAACGAGAACAAACAAATTAGTTAGCTATTAAATTATTAGAGCTTTCAGTTCGTTCGAAGTTACCGAATTGATCAAAGTACCTTCGTGATGACGTTTGCAATCAAACAAGTTAAACACTGGACCATTACAATTCTGCGCTTACTTAAAATACCTAAAGAAGTCTTTTAAGATACACAAACTTAAATAGTTAATCAAGATAACAGAGTGATCATCAGTTTGTACAAAGCTTTTGTACGACACCATCAGGATTACAAATTTGCCACAGAATATCTCATTTTAGATAAGAATCCTCGCAGTTTAACTCGAATATATGTTAAGAAGATCTAACATTACTGAACACGAAGAAACAAGAAAACTCAAAACTTCGGAAGTCTAGTACTAGTTGGCTACAAGTTAATGCCAATGTTATTTGTTAACATCTGTCTGAAATTGAAAGACATGGAATAATTAATTAACTCAGTTGAATTATGACAAGTAATAATAAGATAGCAGTGTAATGAACGAGAACTCAGATGAAGACAATCAATTTATTCTTTAAAATGACATTACAGAGTTCATTGGTAAAATGTGAAAACCACATATTAAATATTTCGTTTTGCAAATCTTCCGTCAATGGTCTCAAACTTCGTCGTTCGTTCATTACTATTACAATCGCTTTCTGTCCCCGTTCTGTTTGATTCGATCTTCTGAACCATCTGCTGCCAGGAATTCCACTTCTGATTGGTGTTCCATACTACTTATATCTGTCAACATAAGTAGCATACACCACAGCAGGACTCAATAAGTCCACCATCAGAGTATTTATTTAGAACTTCAGACACTAAATATACTCGATTAATGTGAAATATAAAATAACAAAAATTCACAATCAAATACCGTTTACAAAATAAGATATTCACACTATGATGCAATACACATCAGACAGACTTCTCGAAAAGTCGAGGTCAGAACAAATAAATATTGTAGAGATCCTGTTTGACCATTGAGGAACCAAACATAACTCGAAGGACGTGCAAAATTTTCAGCTATATGTTTACACTCCGTAAAATTCGGCCACAAGATGTTATTTGACAATATTGAAGTCTTTCAGGAACGGTCACAAAAGTCAC